ACTAGTGTCAAAATAGATATTGGTTACCTTCGACAATAGGTTTTTGCATGCTCAGTGGCAATATCAAGCGACCTGGGTAAAGCATAAATTCGTGAGACAGAGTAAATTCCATACATGATCATTTCCAAAATCCTTGTGCAACAGCTGTGAATAGAAGAAAAAGTACATCTATCGAGGAGAACGATTTCATCAATTGTCGACTCATCTTTTCTATGTCAATCATAATTTGCTACTGGTCGCTTCTAAATGGCAAATAATTCAGATAAAGTTGAGCGAAGCTTTCTGCAACATGCTTAATAGTTGCTGCTGGTGGTTCTTCTTGATTGTAATACTAACAATGACGTTTTTTTTCTGTTAGATTTATTCGACATGCTCTTTAACAAAGATCGAATCGATTTCTTTATTTCCATATATACCCATATTTTTCAATTCGTATTAAATGTAGAATCAAACTTTATACCGTTTATAACCTCATCATATAAGTACCAGATTAATTTCAGCTATCTAATTTTGCTCGAAAGCAATCACTTCTTAGTAGAAGTTTCTTTATAGTTAAATATGAATGTTTTTCTAGTCTAACTTTAGCAAACGAGTAAAGTTTCTCTGTAGTCAAGATTTATGATTACACTCTAATTCTTACAAAGTATGTCACATAGATAAGAAAGAAACATCACTTTATAACGAACGATCTTACATATCTTCTTGAATTTTCACCTCAGAAAATGTTCATTACTGTCATCTAAATTGCCCCTTTAGTTGATTGAACAATGTATGAAATTTGATACTAAACGATATTCTATTCTTATTATGACATAGGCTGGAATAAAAAGTGGACAGACCGAGGAAATGATCTGGCAGACTCTTAAAATGTTGGCCTGTCATAGGCAGACCAAGCCTACAAATGTTGAGTCTTGTTGGATCTCTGGTATACCATGTCGACCTTATAGCTTTTCATAACCTTATTTTAATACAGTCGAAGGAAATATGAGACTATGAAGAGTACAAGCACAACGAATTTTATTTGAACAAATCGATTGTGAATATATTTTAAATATTTCTGCTTTTTCACGGTAATAATTAACTATTCTTGTTCTTGTTTTTTGTTGATCTTTTCATTTTATTATGAGGAGTTATTAAAAAAACTTCGAAAAAGTTTTTATTTATTCGAAGAAATCTGCAGAATATTGAAAATACTAAACGAAAATCAGAATTTCGTTTTCTTTTCGAATATGAATTCGAAATCTTTGTATTTGAAATAAATTTTGCTTCTACTTTAAGAATTTATTTTTCCGAGCTAAAATTCATCTAAAACGAATTGATAAGTTTCTAAAATATCAACTCATAAATCCTAAACTAGAAGTTCTACAAAAATTTAAAACGATTAAAACGAATGAACATATATTCTATTTTTTTTTCTATAATACATTGTACAAGATATGAACAAGACCAGTACACATATTCACCAAATGAATATTGTCTTTCTTATACTATTGAAAAATCTTTGTTATCCTGATTGATTTGTATCATCGCATCATCCAAGAATGAAGTAAAATCAAATATTCTTGTTTTGTTTGTTTGAAAATTTGTTCTATTGAAAGATCTTTATCAACAAATATGAGTGAACAACGTCAATCTAAGTTATTTCGGCAAATCATAATAAAAAAAAAACTTTAAATTTGTCAAAGAGGTATAGAATAATATCTCTTCTTTATTCATATCAACTATTTGAGGATCTGCTATATTAGACTTTATTAACATAAATCTGCCCAGAATAAGAAAAGTCTTCAGAGAAAAAAACAACAACATTCTGCTTAAATAATTAAGAAACTCTTAACTATTTGGTTTTTATGCCAACGAAACATTATTTCGAGAAAGAAAGTCAATTTCTTTTAAAACAATAATTCTTAATTTTGAATACAAAAATAATCTTGGTCATTCATTTATTAAAAAGCTCATCATTGGTATTGCTTAAATAATAAATTTGAAGTATTTTTGATCTAGTTTAGTTCCGAGAAACATCACTAATGGATCTTATTTCTAAAAAATATGCCGACAGATCTATGATAAAGATTTATTGATCTTACAATAAGATAAAATCTATACAAAACAATTGAATTTAATAACTCTCCCGTTTCGTAGTCGAAGAATAAAGACAAACGATTAAAATAGTATAGGTTACAGTTAAACTTAAAAACAAAACAGTATTTATTTACTTACACACAACAAGCAATAAAGACTAGATTTTAATTCTCCGTTGTACTACTAGATAAGAAAATTTTAATTAAAAGATTTGACGCATTCATTTGCTAACTTTTCGAAGAGGAAACATTGTGAAAATTTTGACCCTATGACAACTATTCTTTATTCTAATTGAGATGAAACTTTCAATATTTTTTTTGTCCGATAAAACATTCTTGAATAGTACCGAGAGAAAGATTCAAAGACTTTTCATAATCGTTTGAAAAACTTTCTTTTGCTGATGATCTATTTATTTTTTAGTATTTAAAGATTCATGTACAACGTCTTCATTTCGAGATGAATTATTTAAAGAAACTATTCATCTATATGATCAATTATTATCATTATGTTCAATAAATGGTTTATTTCATTTTTCTCTCTTTGAAATTCTGAATATATTTTGTTTTTAAATAGTTATATCTAAGTACTGCATGTCCAATATGACGTGGTTATTTATCTGATATAGATTGTCGAAAGAATATATTAAGTGAAGCTGTTGACGATCGAACAGCTGCAGAAAAAAAATTTCTATAGCGTTATGATTTAGCTCCATTGTATTTAGCTGATAAAAAATAAACATTTAAATGATATTGATTATCCAGTTGATCAATGTGTTATTACAAAACTTATTGATCAAGGTTTGTTCACGAGAATTTCTTTTTTCTGTTGTGTTAATAAAAGATTTTTTAATAGAAAAGGAATGCCCGAAACATTATCTCATCATTTTGGTTATCTATTTATTCGTGATCCACGTTTTATTTTAAAAGAACTTCTTCATCCGATTGATGATTAAGACTTTGTATCATTTTGAAGTTAGTTATTTTCATTTTCTATAATTTGTTTTAAATCAATTAATTTTAGAATATAAACAGTCATGTATGGAATAGTTTAAAATTAAAACTACCATCATTAAATGATAAATCAATGCGATGGCGAGTAAAATTTCGATCAATGGATGTATGTAAATTGTATCTTCAAATAAGTGATTTAAAAAAATGCAGCACTTGTTATTTTCTTAGCATTGATAACAAGATTTATAATAACTTATGATCTTGATTTAACAACAACAATATCTCAGATTAATGAAAATAGGAATAGAGCACACCATCAGGATTCAGTGTGTCGAGAAAAATTTTATTTTTGATACGATACTTACACTTCTCAAATTTTCATAAATGAAATTATAAATGATAACAAAGATTTTCTTGGTGTTGTTCTACTTGTTAGAAAATATATTTATGAACGAGAAGATATGAATGCTAATACAAGGCATACTGATGAGCAATATCTTTTACTTATATCAAGGCAAGCTGAAGGTTTTTTCTTTATCTGTAAGGTTTTATTTAATATATTTTCAAGAAACTTTATTGATAACTGCATCCTGGATGCGACAATTTTTACTTTCACATTCATCATATAGACAAGATTTGATTGTATCTTGGAAAAATTCAATATGATGTTGTTTGGAAAATGTTACAAATAGCAAATGAACATGAAAATTATTCA